CCTCTACCAGGTCGAGCTCTGCATGAAGATACTCACTGTTCTGCTCGTTGTCGTAGCACTCGATCTAGAGAGTTGGGGGGCCTGTCTCCGCAGGGATCAAGGCTTTGGCCCCATATGCTAGGCTGAACGGTGTCACTCTGGCAGGTAGGCTGAACGTTGTGTCTTCAATTCGTCTTTGAGGTTTATGTTCTCTGTGCTTAGAGTCTCCGTGGCATGGGGCCTTCCTCGACAGGCCATTAGGAAACATTGCCGTGCAACCCTCTGGTCTCCACGCGCCACACCTACTCCATATGGGGTGGGGAACTTAATCGCCAAGTGATACATGGAAGCCGAGGCCCGCAGAGGGTCGGTTAGCCGAGGATGGCGTTGTAGGATGAGAAGACTCAAATAGGAACGGCAACGAGGTGAGGCACCCCCTCCCTGTCCCCGCCCTAAGTCAAGATACTTGCCTCATCCCCGCCCCGTCCTCGGTGGCAAGGCGGGTTTAGGGCAGGGCATCCACTCCCCGTCGGGGACAGGTAATACCTGAATTTTCCCCGCTCCAAGGCAATTTCTTAAAAGTTATTTATTTTATAGACAAATTATACATATAATATAGGAATTTTAGGAATTAAATTATAATACTTTAGGGGTACTTCAAAAATGGAATTATAGGATTCTAGAATTTTAAGAATTTAGGGAAAACTTAGAGATATTTTAAATATCAATATTAAACCTAAAGATATTTTACTAATTTTACCTTCGGGTTTGGGGAATTATATAAAAAACCTGTCCCTGCCCCATTCGAGGCGGGGCCCTGGTTTTACGGGGGAAATTATCATCCCTAGACTCAGACGACGATGAAATCAACCATCGTCATGGTGGTGATGTCAATCCCCGATTAGAAGAGGCAGGGTGATCTTCCCTTTAGGCATGAGGGGCTTTTCGGAGAAGCCTACCAAGGGAGTGTTGACTAGGGTGAGGCGATCATTGCCGATGCCGAGCTGTTCGAAGGTTTTCTCGAAGAGAATGTTGGTCGAGTTTCCTATATCCACTAGGATGCACCAAACTTTGAAGTTGTCCACCTTGGGAGTTATCACAAGGGTGTTGTCGTGCGGGGTTTGGAGCCCCCTAAGGTCATCTTCGGTGAAGGTGATCGGATCATCTTGGTGCCTTCCCCTTTGTTCCCTATCATTGATCTCGAGCAATCACACATATGCCTTGCAGCCCAAGCTGCTCTCCCCCCGAAGGCCATTCCTCCTAAGATCACTATGATGACTCCAACCGAGGTAGCTTAGATTGGAGGTCTGTCTGTCTGTCTGGTGTGGTTCTTCCTTCGGCTTGTGCTCCTTGATGTCAATGAATCCCCCTAAGTATCCACGCCTGATCAGGTCCTCGAGGTGATGGCGCAAATTGTGGCAATTGTTTGTCTCGTGGTCGTGGTCTCGATGGAAGTCGCAGTACTTGTCTCTGTTTCTCTCGTTGTTTTGGGACTTCATCTTCTTGGGCCACCTGACATAGTTGCGGTCGTGGATCTGCATCAAAATCTCTAACGAAGGTGCATTCAGTGGCATGAAGTTCCAATAGGCCGGTGATGGAGTCTTCGATCTTCAATCTGGTCGGTGGTCTTGTCTCTTGTTGTCTCGACCCGCCCTTTCGGTCTTGCGCTCATCAAGGTCTCTCCTCTTCCCGTCATGCTACTCTTCTTCACCCCTCAGTTGTGCTTGTGCTTCAACGTTGATGTACTTCTAGGCATGATTCATCAGCGCGACAACTGTGACCACCACCGGTTGGTTCAGGGCACTGACTTGTAGGGCCTTGGTGATGAACCTCGCTAAATACTCTTTAAGGGTCTCGCATTTGCATGAGGCTTGTTGAAGTTTTCCAGTATCTCTGGCTAGTCATGAATTGCGCTAGGAATTGTCTCTCCAACTGCTCCCAAGAGGAGATGGAGCACGAGAGAAGGGAGGAATACCACGTCCAGGTCATTCCCTTGAAGGTCGCTACGAAGACTTTACACATCAGGCCTTCGGACGAGTTGTGCAACATCATCAAAGCCTTAAAGCCTTCGATGTGGTCGTTGGGGTTCGTGGCTCCGTCGTACTTCTTGAACTGCAAAGGTCGCCAATCAGTTGGGGCGAGCTCGTCCATGATGTCTTGGGTGAAGATTGGCTCTTTGGCAGACTTGTTAGATTCCATAGGCCCGACCATGGGAAGAGTTGCGCTCGGTCATCTTGGCTGCATTTTAATTCGGTGAGGCATTGTTTGAGTTCCCTGATCTCGTCCCTGTTGTCTGGCATCGCATAGGTTGTCCTTTCTTGGGCACTACTGGGCGGTCTTTGACCAAGCTAAACTCGGCGATGGAGACCAATTGCTATTGCGCCTGTTTGCCAAGCCTTTCTTTCGCCAAGATTCTAGCATAGCAGTGCATCTTACTATGGTCATTGCGTTCACTAAATCGGGCTAAGGAGTTCGATCTTCTTGATGATTGTTGCCTAAATTGTTAGACCACATCATATGTTTATCCGGGTGGCGCTTTTTGGGGTCCTCAAGGCAAGGATCGACCGTGTTAAGCGTCGGGACAGGAGGGGGGACGGTCTGAGGAGGTTGTGCTATTTGTCCCAACACTTGCATCATCATGAGGATTTGGTCGACCTTTTGCTACATCGCCTAGAACTGGGCAAGTCAACCATGGTGTACTGTTGACGTTGCTACTAAGACTCGCGATGTAGAGGGCTATAGTGAGAGCGAGATCAACGAGATCCCCAAGATGGTGATCGACTTGTAGAGCGATCGGATGTGTTTCTTGGCATGCTTCTTGATTGCATGGAGATTTTAGAATGGAGTTTTGTGCGATTCCCATAAACAGCGTCAATCTGATGTCCGCTTCGAGGTGTTCCGAACCGATGACGCAATCATATAGTCTTGCCAACTAGACGAGGTCGAGATAGAAAGACGAAGCTGCACAGCAATATCTGAAACCAAGAAAGAGATCAGAGGCCTATGGAGTTGTTACCCGGGTAGGTATCCAATGCTCAAGTTAGTCGAGAATGGTGGATGGTCAAGCTGAGTAATTGAGAGAAATGTGTTGGTTCGAGCAAAGGCAAGATAACAGTATGGGTGCTAAAGAGTTAAAAGTCCCTTACCTTGAGCAGAAGTTACCTTTTTATAGCCAAAGATCTGTGTTGTTCGAATGTGGCTTCCAGGGTTGTCAAGATGAAATTGTTCGCCGAGGTCTTCGAGATAAGACCTAACCTCTGGTGGAGCTATCCTCCTTATCCATACGAAGTTCTCTCGTCTTGGTCATACTTATCCATCTTACGTGGTGCCAACGTGACCTAAGTAATAAGGCGGCCACGGAGGTGACACGTGGCACCCAGGGCCAGCTCAACCATAACCCAAACAACTACTGCCTTAGGTATGTCAAAACGCCACTCTTGTTTTTGGTGGTAGTCTGAACCACCAGATAGATCCTATATGATCGCCGCCTTAGGTATTGTTTATGGCTAAATTAGTGGTTGCATGACCGCCGACTTTGATATCTTTTTGTATTATTTTTATACCAGATTAATTCCAACGCTTTGTTTTGTACCTACACTTTAGTTCCAACGTTCATCAATTTAATACATGTTTAATACAAATCTCATGGCAATTGATACATAAAAACAATTTAAATAAAAAATGCAATTTGAAACAAAATCTATTAGTTTAATTATTAATTATCATAATATTCAAAACAAATTGTTTAAATACAATATCCAATTGACATGTAAAAAGTGCAATGAATTTAAAGAAATTCAATTTCTTGAAAATGTAACACATCTTCCAATGCAAATCTACTTAACATAACGGCTTCAAATCATAACATATAAATTGTTAGATAATGTAAAGTAAATGAGATATCAATGAAAAAATGTATAAAAATAGGACATTGAAGGAGGTGGTCATGATTGATACTTAAGGAAAAAGTAATTCCTAGAATGCATCTATAAATTTTCGTTCACCACCCCTTTTCTTGTCCAAAAGTCCAACAATTTCGGTTATATGTTGGATCCTTTTACAGTAAAAAAAATTCATTCACCACCCCTTTTACTTTGTAACAAGCATTCATCATCTAAAGTACAAAGCAATAAATAATTCAGTTTAAAAAATGGATTAAAAAGTAATTCAGTTCAACCAATTCAGCAACTATCAAACAATCCCTAAGCTAGTTGGCACCTTCAGCTAAAACCTTTGAAATGTTTTGTTATTTCCTTCTCAGCTTTCAAGATTTAGCTCCAATCTCTTTTAGGCTTTTTGTGCACCGAGTACAGCAAATATCTATCAGGTGTACAAATGGAAGAAACTAGACCCCATCTTATTCCAATAAGAGAAAAGATGGGACTGTTCTCATTGTCCCCAATAAAGAAGCCCGAAAAGTCATTTTCTTGATCTTGTTCACGTGTAAAGGGCCAGGTTTCAGTTATACTATACTTACTGGTTATAACATACTATGGAGATCTTTTGTTTTTTTATTAGTATATTTTTGGTAAATGAAACATTGGGCTAGATCTAAAGTAGAAAGTTTAGGATTTCAAGTAAAATTTTACTCAATTGGGTTTAAGGGTTGTGGATCCTCACACATTCCATTTCCATAAGTCAAGGTATTGATCTCTGGGATGAACAACTCATGCAGATGGGTTCCTAAATCTGCAAATAACCTTGTTGACTCTTTACCAGGACTAGGGTTGGTAGAATTGAGTTTATGTAGGGGAACATAGGTCTCAGGTCACAACAATGAGGCTAGGGTTGCTGACTACAGATGTAGAACTTGTTAAAAGGGTGACTCTTTTCATTATTCCATTTTAATTTGCAGTTCCCAATGAACTGCTACCATGAGGGCACCTGTTCATTGGGATCACAATTAAACTCATCCTTAGGAAAATGTTGCAAAAGAGAAACATTTTTGTAGGAACTACAACCAAAAATGAGGTATTATAAACTCAAAACCAACAAGAACAGCCGATTTGGGGGCACCATACCATTGGGTTCCAGAGAAAGGGTAAGTAGGGGCCTATCTGCTCCAATCATATGGGACAATATCCCTACTCCAATCAAGCCCTCTATACTATCATTTTATGTGAAATCGTACCTACAGAATATAGCAGACATCTACAATTAGCCAATTATATACAAGACAAAAATGTTAATGTGCGGAGAGAATGGAAATTGATTAATTCAAAGATTAGTTATGAAAATGTCCAAAACAAATAGTCCAAATACAATATCCAATTGACATAAATAGTACAAGATATTTAAAAAAAAAAAATCAAATTATCTAGTAATGTAGCACATCTTCCGATGTAAATTCACTTAACATATTGGTTGAACCAGCAAATCAAAACATATAAATATTAGCTACCTCTCTTAATACTTAGGGACCATGTGATAGCAGCTGAAGTGACTTAACTGAATGACTTATTATTTTTTCTTTTAGTGTATAAAATAATTAGATAATAAAATATTCAAAGGCATCATATCCAACCCAAGTTCAGCTTCAGCCATTAAGGAGCTCACAATGTCCTTAATAATATTCACTAAAAGAAAAAATCATTTAGTTTAATTAGCAACTTCTGCTGTTATAAAACAGCCCCTAATAACCTTGATATTCATGAAGTTTCTTATAGAAAGATTACTAAAAGCATGGTATTCATATTCTTGTTAAAATAACATTAGAATTTAGGTGACAAAGCATTTACTATGAAAATAAAACAAGAAATATACTTTAGTAGTAATGTGAACTTTGCAACAGTACTGGAGCAAAGGTCAGGTTGAAGATGAGAATATGTTCAACTTGCGGTGGCAGGGGTCAAGTTATGCGAACTGAACAAACACCCTTTGGTTTATTTTCCCAAGTATGCAAGTAATTTTTTGGTTGTTGCTGTCTTAATTTGATGAGTGAATACTTTCTTAGTAGATGGTTGCCAAGTCAAGTGCTGAAATAGTTTGAACCACCTCCTTCATCAAACTCTAGAATTTCTGAAATACCATAATGAAATTAGAGGGAGAACAGTGATGGAGTTTATGCAGAAAGTAACCTGGAGAAGATTTCTGAAGGCTGAAGCTAAAAACTTTTTCTTTGAGAGGTTCAAAGTAAAAGGGATTTTAACGTGGAAGATCAAAGAAGGAAAGCCATGGTTATGCTGGTAGGTATGGAGGCGGTTGAATGGCCCAATTTGTTCATGGAAGGAGCAATACAGTCAGGCAAACATACAGACTAGAAGAGCTCTAAAGAACAACAAGATCAAAGGTACCTAGTAGAAAGAAGATGGAATACAAAAGGTAGATTCATTGCTCTGACTAAGCTTTTTGGAGAAGGAAAGAAACAACTCATCTGCGTTCCTGAAGCAAGAAACAACATGGTTTGGAGGGCAATAAAAAACATTCTACAGGACTTCTTGAAAGAGATGAAGGAAGGTACCAAGGGTGTTCAGTTTACTGGAGAAATAAGAGGATTCCTAAGTGAGAAGGAAGCAAATTCTAGGAACATTCTGGTGAATGGCTTGGGAAGAGACAAGATGGTTTTAAATACAGAGAAGATAGAATGGGAAAAGAAGTTGGTGGCTGAAGTTAAGAAGAAATCGTCACCCCTTATGAAGTTGGTGGTAGAATGGGAAAAGAAGTTGGTGGTTGAAGTTAAGAACTTTAAGGTAAAAGGTCCAGTACTGGTCACCCCTTACAAAGACTGTAAAGCACTTTTAGATTTGTTGAAGGAGGTATCAGAAGTTAGTGCTTCAAACTTCCAGTTGCAAACTGGAGCAGCTACAGTGATGAGGTAGTCTCCTAGCTCAAACATGAAAGACCTCTCAGTGGAAGATGGGGGTAACCATAAGGCTTGTTGGCCTACCCTTCCATTTGTGGAAACTAGAATTATTTCAATCCATTGCCTCCTTGTGCAAAGCTAAACTGGAAAGTGTGTTTCTAAAAGATCTTCGATCAGCAGTAATGAGAGTAAGCGGAGTAAAGCATGAAGAAATTCCCAGGAAGATTGAGGTTTATGCTGAATGTGCTTTCTATTCGGTGTGGCTATTGACCTCCATTGAAGCAGCTCTGTGGAAAGAGTCCAGGACGAAGGAAGATGAGGAGGTAGAAGAAGACTACCTACGTGGATCATAGAGATTAGTGCATTTCAAATTAGCTAAAACTATCACAGAATTGGAAAGATTAAGGAGAGACAACAAGAAAGGATTACCCGAATAAGAAAATGGAAAGAGTGCAAGCAAAGGCAAAGGTTTAAAGTTTAAAAGAACCTTTGCAGAGGTTGTGACAGGTGTGTTAAATGCAAAACCAAACTGTCAAGGCTCTTGGATTGGTGAAACTGAAAAGGGGCTTAAAATGACTTCAAGTAGAGTAATAAATGGAACCTTAAATGGGCTTATGAAGTAGGACAAGTGTTTGGGTTTGCACGGTGGGCCATCGGATGGGCCAGGTGGAAGAAATTTTAATGGACCAGGTGGGACAAGTAGCAATGGGCCAGGCAGATTAGAGAGGAGGTCACATGACTCTTTAAGTCACCATATGACTTTAGAAAAAGACAAAAAGAAAGGGCCCAATATCTTGGGTGTATCATCATCCCCCATCCAACCTGATTCGATTCTTTCTCAGGTGAGAGGCTCTGCTGTAAAAAAAAAATCCGCATGGAGGCCAAGGATGGTTTGCTACTCAACCACCCCAGAATGACAAAATCCGAGGTATGATAGAAACAAAGAGGAAGATGGTGATTTTGACTCGGATTGGGTAAGTTGTGAAGAGGAGAAATCAGATGAAGAGTCCTACGGCCAGTCTAGTATCGGCAGCGTTAAAAGTAGTACACGAAAAGTTCTTCTAGAGGATGCAGATTTAGGAACAAGCGTACTCTTCAAAAACTCTTTATTGACCCTAACCAAACTTTCTTTTGAACATCATAAGAGCGACGGTTTGAAAGGTTCTCCCTTGAGAAGAGAAAACACCCCATTCAAAGGCAAAGAAAATCTGTCCCTCTTTGATAGACAACCAGGGTGATTGTAAAGAATTTACAGTTTCTCATCACTCAGAAAGCAAATCTACAGATGACTCCCCTCTCTGATAAACAAAACCAGGGTCATCCTATGCATGGCAATCCTCTGTTTCTGGGTTTTGGTATGGTTTGTCAATTTTTGGATAATTCTATTTATGTTTCAACTAATCCTCCCTACCCTCCTATGTTTGTGGTCCAGCCTGCAGGTGACACCTATTCTTGTCCAGTAGTTGCCAATCCTAGTGTGTCTTTGGAGGCAACAGAAGTGTTAGGAGAGACTGAGGTTGTAGAGGATTCTAAGGAGGAAGAGGAGAGAATATGGGAGCTAATAATGCAGCTCTTTGATCAATTGGTTCAGGTCGAAATACAGTCCAGAGTGGGTTTGGAGGAGGAAGGTAGCAGTACAAATCTGATGTGTTTGGAGGAGGAAAATGAAGAAAGAAAGAGTGGGTTGAAAGTTAGAAATACAAAAGGAAAAAACAGAGGCATGAGAAAGGAAAAGAATATAAAATAAGGAGTTAAGAGTCACTGAAAAAAAAAGAAAGAAGAAGATGAGTGAGGTGGAGAGGCTGAGATGTGGAGTTGATTATGAAAAAGGGGGTACAAGCAGAAAGGAAAGGAAATTGGTTTAGGTTCAGAAAAACCTTAAGGTCTCAACATCTATTTTTCCCATGAAGATAATCAGTTGGAATGTTAGGGGGTTGGAGAGTCAAGGAAAAAGAAGGGTGATTAAGGTAGTTTTTAGGAAAGAAAAGCCGGATATTGTACTAATTCAAGAAACAAAGCTGGAAAAGGTGGATAGAAGATGGGTAAGAAGTTTGTGGTCAGCAAGAGGCCTAAGTTGGGCTTTTGCACAATCATGGGGAACCTCAGGAGGAATCCTAACAATCTAGAAGAATGAGGAGATGGATTGCACTGAAGAATTGATTGGCAACTTTACAGCCACAGTGAAATTTAGGAGGAAAGAGGACGGGTTAGAATGGGCTTTAACTAATGTCTATGGTCCAAATTCTTATAGGGAAAGGGAAGAGTTTTGGGAAGAACTAGCAGCCATAAGGGGTCTTTGGTGTGGCCCTTGGTGTTTTGGGAGAGATTTTAATGTCATTAGATTTGTGAATGAAACAACTAATCCTAACCATAGGATCACCTCTAGCATGAGGAATTTCAACCTAATTATGGAGTCCTTTGAGCTAAGAGAGATGCCCATGCTACAAGCTAGTTTCACATGGTCCAACTTTCAAGAAGATCCCTTGTGTTGTAAACTAGATAGATTCTTATTCTCTGCAGATTGGAAAACTGCTTGGAGAGGAATGGTAGTAAGAGCACTTCCTAGACCAACTTCGGATCACTGTCCAATTAGGCTCTCACAAGAGAAATTAGGAGGACCTTGTCCTTTTCGGTTTGAGAACATGTGGCTACTTCATCCTGAATTTCTAAAGAAAATACAACAATGGTGGGAAGAAGATAAGGTGGAGTTTAGATGGAAAGGATATAAATTCTACAAAAAGCTACAAGCTCTGAAAGCTAGGATCAAAGAGTGGAATAAAGAAGAGTTTGGAAGAATCAAAGAGAGAAAAGAATAGATTGTTAAAATAATTCAAGAAATTGATATAGAGGAGGCGGAGAGAAGATTGAGAGTAGAAGAAGGGGGGGAAGGTGGAACTTGAAACAAGAACTAGAGATAATCAATAAAAAAGATGAGATATGTTGGAGACAAAAGTCTAGATGCAAATGGCTCAAGGAGGGAGATGGAAATACTAGGTTTTTTCATACCCTGGCAAATGGTAGGAGGAGGAAGAAAATTGTGGAGAGGCTGGAATGGAATGAGAAGTGCTTAGAAGGGAGGAAGAGATAGCAAGAACGTTTGTGGACCACTTTAAAACCATTTATGACAGTCCTAGCAGATGAGAGAGGGAATTTCTTATTTTCAATGCCAAATAGGGAGTAGAGAACTAATGGAGGAATTGGAAAGAAACTTTGAAGTCCAAGAAGTCAAAGATGTTTTCTTAATGGAAAGATCTAAAGCCACAGGTCTAGATGGATTCACAATGGCCTTTTATCAAGATTGTTGGGAAATCATAGGTAGGGATTTAATGGAGGTGTTTCTAGAATTCTTTGAGAGAGGTAGGATTAACTCGGGTGCCAATGCTACTTTTACAACTTTGGTCCCCAAAAAGATGGATGCAAGACACCCAAAGGATTTTAGACCCATTAGTTTGATTAACAGCATGTATAAGCTCATATTTAAGGTGTTAGCCTCAAGAATTAAAAAGGTACTTCCTTATCTAATCTCTCCTAACTAGGGGGCCTTTGTGTCTTGAAGACAAATTATAAACCAAATCCTTATTGCCAATGAGTGTGTTAACTACCAAAAGAGAAAAGGGGAGAAGGGGTTGATTTTCAATCTTGATTTGGAAAAGGCTTATGACTTGGTAGCTTGGGATTTTTTACTGGAAGTTTTAAGAAATAGAGATTTTGGAGAAGGGTGGTGTAGATGGGTAAAAGGTTGTGTGGCTTCGTACCACTACTCTATTTTGGTGAATGGGGTAGCCAAGGATTTTTTCCCTACAAAGAGAGGTCTAAGACAAGGGGACCCTCTCTCTCCCTTCCTTTTTACCTTAATAGTAGACATATTGAGTGGTATAATCTCCAGAGTTGACTCCAAAAATCTCTTTAATGGGTGGAGAGTAGGGAGACAAGTAGTGGTTACTCATTTATAATTTGTAGATGATATAACTCTCTTTTGTAAGGGAGAGCCTGAGGAGATGGTCAATCTAAAATTGTTGGTAGAAGGTTTTGAAAAGGTTTCTAATTTAAGAGTGAATTGGAATAAAAGTTGTATGGCTGGGATTAATAGATCAAATGAGGTAGCTTCCTTGGCTAGGTTGTTGGTCTGTGAGTGGAGTGGTTGGCTTGTAAAGTTCTTGGGTTTACCTTTGGGAGGAAACCCAAAGTCAAAAAGTTTCTCGTACCTAGCCTTTGGAAAGATTCACAAAGAGACTAGCAGGGTGGAAGAGGAATTACATCTCTTTAGGAAGTAGAATCACTTTAATTAAGTCAACACTAGCAAATTTGCAAGTGTACTTCCTATCTACCTTTAAAGTGCCTGCCAAGGTTGCAAATCAGTTGGAAAAAGTATAGGAACCTGCAGAGTCAAAAAAGGATCACCTAGTGAAGTGGGAAGTGTATCTAGGACAAAAGACAAAGGGGGTTTAGGGATTAGAAATATCTGTTTAAGAAACACAACACATTTAGATAAGTAGTTGTGGAGGTTTCCTAAGGAGCAACAAAGTTTGTGGCATAGAGTGATAGAAAGCATATATGGATTGGCAGCTAATGGATGGGATGCTGGTCTCAACCCAAGGGCTTCTCGTTCCTCTCTGTGGGAAGACATTATTGGTACATTGCCCGCCTTTTCTCCTTTCATCAAGTATGACGCTTGTTCGGGTAATAAGGTCCGTTTTTGGGAGGACGTTTGGGTTGAGGACCAGCCTCTTAAGGATAGGTTCCCGACCCTCTACTCCCTGTCCTGAACAACTTAAAGTCATCTCTACCTTTCGTGTTTCTAAAGAGTTGTGGGATTTAGGGTCCAATAGAGGGTTAAGGGAGTCAAAAATAGCATTGGCAAATGATCTTTTCTCCCTTAAATTTGGTGTTTTTGGATATGTCTTGTCTTGATAATAGAATTTGGTCTGAAGAGTCCTCCGGTTGTTTCTCTTGTTCTTCTTTCTTCAATGCTTTAGTGCACTCTTCCAATTTAGTTTCCTCTTTTCCTGTAAAAGAAGTGTTGAGTGCTCTTGTACCTCCAAAGGTGAGGGCTTTTTGTTGGGAAGTGGTTCTCCAAAAAAATCAACACTTTGGACTTGCTTCATAAAAAATACCAAATTGGTCCTTATCCCCCCTCATGTTTGTAGCCTTTGCTTAAAGAGTGGTGAGATGGCAAATCGTCTACTAATCTCTTGTCCTTTTGGGATTGGTTTTCCTCTCTCTTTGGGTGTAGGTGGGTTCCTCCTACAAGCGCGGTGGATCTTTTTGAATCTAGCTTTTTCCATCAGTCAAAGAAAAGATGAAGGGTAATGTGGAGAGAAACAAGGGCAGCGGTGGTTTGGGCAGTGTGGGAGGAGAGAAATAACAGAACCTTTCAAGGAAAAGAAAAATCAGCACATGAAGTCATAGAAGGGATCACCATCAAGGTCATACATTGGGTGAAATCACTGGACTTGTTCAAGGATTTCTCTGCAGAGACTTAATTAGAGGGCGGAGTATAGTAGCAGCTTCTTCCTGCCCCCTCTTTAGCTATTCAAGAGGACTGGTCACCCCTGTTGTCTGTGGCTGTTAAGCTAAACTTTGATGGCAGTTCTGTAGGTAATCCAGGCCCCTCTAGAATTAGGCATGTCTTTAGAGATGGGGGAGGAAAAGTCCTGGCCTTTTATTCTATCCCGATAGGATTGGGGGACTCTCTTAGAGCAAAAGTTCTAGAACTCCTATAGGGGCTCAAGCTGGCTAAACAACTAGGTTTTCAGCAGTTGGAAGTGGAGGGAGATTCGAAACTGGTAATAGGTTGGATGCAAACAAACAACTTAGGTGTCTGGCCCCTTAGACAACCTGTAAGGGAGATTTTGCAACTTACAAGGGAGCTTGAAGTTAGATTTAAATGGAATAGGAGATCAGCCAATGCAATGGCCGATACTTTAACAAAGCAAGGAGTTAGTAGGCAGAACCTTTACTGTTTCTAATAAAAATACTCTGTAGTATTGGTGGTGTATATAGAACGTACAGTGACACTCAGAACCTTCTAACATCTTTGATGTAGGGCTTGTTTACTCATTTTTCGTCAGCTTGGATTTGGGTGATTTTTGTTTATTTTCTAATTCCTAATCTTCTTTTAGGTGTCAATCTTTTTAGTTGGTAGTCCTAAAGAGTTTTAGAAGTTCAGTTGTCAAGTGGCATCCACTAACCATATAAAGTCTTATGACCTTTTGGAATCAGGTGGGTTCCTTTGGTGGATTTGAAGAGCTTATTCCTTAATATCAGGGTTGCAGAACCTACATATCAATTATACCCAAGTTGCATGAGTTCCTTAAGATAGAAATGGGTTAGATGGACTACAAGAAAGATCAGCATTAAATTATTATTATCATGAAGTGAAACAAATAGCAGTGCACAGTGCACCACTCCAATAATCCAAAATAAAAAGGGAGGAGGGGGGACTTTCTCAAGGAAGACATTTGTAGGTCTTTCAGCACCAACTATAAAGTCAATACATTGGCCAACTGAAATTAGTATAATATTAACTACAAAATTATTTCACTTGTCAATAAGCTTTAAATGTCAGTCAACACATAGAATCATATACGAAATATTATGTCCATTCATCAAACTTATCTCCATTCCTTATGAGATACAAGATTTAAGATTTTTCAAAAACACATATGAAATAGAAAATGGATATGCTTAATAAACTGAGAAAAAAGTTCAGGACCACACTATAGAAAAATAGAATTCTTAATATCTGAATTTCGTATTCAATCTCCTGCAAAGAGAGAGCAACGCTGACCATCAACAGTGGTTCTAGTTGTACTAACTGATCTACCAAACGCTGCATAAAATTATGAGAAATTATTTAATTTAAAGTTAAGACAGTAGAATCTAAAGAGTACAAGGTACAATCCAAGAAAGACTTGAATTAAGGTTGGTTGAATTATACATACTCTGCTTTAGTAATTGAAACATATACAAATGGCTGGTTTTCTCCTTGAAGAGTCACTAGATTGGCAACCTAGAAAGAAAGATGGTTCATTGTAAAGAAGTATATTAATAGCTAGTTGTATAATTCAAACTTTATTTCTTTTTGAGAAAAGTATATTAAAGTTCATTCATAAAGGAGAATTACGAGACTGTACACACCTCTTACTGAAAATGAAATCATTTGCAGTAAATCATTACTGCAAATGACATGCATATAAACAACAGATTCAGAGGTCGCAAAGAAAGAAGCATGTCTAGCCAGATCTAATTATACACACCTCTTCTAGGTCAATGTTGAATATAATGCAATTGATCCGGACCATATCTGATCCACTTCCATATTTGGACTAACTTTTGGTTCATATCCTTAAGGACTATTGTGGTTTCTATAAGAGAGTTAATGCAGGTAGGGAGCAGGGTAGATCCAGGACCTAACCTCCATCAATCCTAGCTGCAGGCACTACATGGTGTGTATGGCATCTAATTAAGTTCTTCCAACTAAAAAAAGTGTAAAATTTGACCATAGAGGAAATTAGCAAACTACGTGCATATGGAACCACCCAAAATAAAGGAAATCCATGCATACATGCAGACAAATGCAAAAAATTAAAACTCAATAAACATACCTATAAAGAACCTTGCTACACTCAAAACTGGAGTTCTACATGATTTTCATTTTGATTGACAAATACATTATATTGACCTTATGAAAGAAAATATCATCACTACAAGACTGTTATTTCACATTCCGCATGGTTTGCATCCAATTAACTGAATATGGAAATTAAATTCTAATAGCAAAATAAAAATTCACGTAAATTCGTCTACACAAAAAGCAGGTAGGTGCAATGTATATGCTTGATGCATTAATGCAAGAAGCATACCGATCAAAAAGCCAACCATAGGGATTAGCTAGCTAGCATCCCAAGAAGACCCAAACCTGAGACAAAAAAAAAAGAGGGAACCACTAAGGACCCACCTCAACAAAACATTTAAGGACCACCAAACAAAGGGCCCATAACCAAAATAAAGCAACACAAAGCCTAGGCTCAGTGATGATAAACACAACAAAAACAATAGAAAAACCTCCACAACCCCAGGAACATCAGAGACCAACCAGTGTTCATGGGTTCCACCATGTCTACAGGACAAAGCATCCAAGAGTTCCATAAAGCTTTCCTCCATTAAATGGACACATCCAAGCATTGCACAATCGTAGTCCAAAGGTTGTTTCATACAAAAAATTCATATCTGAATGTAGTTTAAAATAGCATGTTTTAGGGGCAAGGGAAAATAACTTCTCCCATCTGAATGTACTTTATTCTTCAAATGCCTTGCCAAACCTTTTTTTCTTTGAGAGAAATGGCATATCATTTTTCTTGATATCTTAGTTTAGATGGAGTTAGTGATTTATATGAGCGCTAAACCTTTTTTGGGTTGCTAGAGCAACACCTTAATCTCTTTGTTCCCATGCAACTTCCGAAACCACCTAGAAATTGCATCAGATGAATGAATTGCAGCCTTCTTTTAGTGATTATGCCAACACTAATAGCTTCCCTTCTTTCCCTTCTTTCTCATGGACACAACACAAATACATGGAAGATAAAAGCTAGAGCACAAATTGCATAAAATCTAATAGACCTAAAACAGGGCCATCACAATAATTCACAATCAAGAATAATTGAGGATTTTTGAAGACCCATAGCCATAGACATGTTTGTTCCATTTTCTTTTTCCGTATATAATATTTTGTATTGCCTACATTAGGATTACAAAAGCTCCTATCGCATTGAAATTATTACCTTTGGTAAAGTATGTATTTTGACTATAAAATAGTCCTTGCCAAGACAAGGAATGCACATTTTGATTTTTAAACCATCCATCTATTTTGCCGATCGTGGAATCAGAAGGTCATCCACAATCCATAATCCTAAGTTTCAAGTTTCAACTAAACCCTTTTTTTTTGTTTCTGTAAGCAATAAACCTTTTTTTTATTGTTTCTGTAAACAATAAACACTAATTCTGAGATGATCAATACTTGCACAGAAAAAATTCAGGAAAGAAAAAGAAGAAACTAGAAAAATAGAGAGGATGGAAGGGAGAGGGATGATAATGACCTAATGGTGGTGACGCCAGAGGTCCCACAGTAGATGTAGGTGAAGGGAGAAGCCGTATCTTTGAAGATGGTTTGCTGCAATGGAATCCCTTTTGGATCGTCAAAAACGGCAGTTGGGGGGATTGCTCCAGCTTGATACGGATTTTCTCCTATGTAGTAGAATTGCGGCTAAGCCTTTAGCTGTGTTTGTCGCCCTCCACCGATTGATGTCCTAGAATGGGAGAAAACAAAAATGAATCAACCATACATGAAGAAGAAGAATCCTTACCTTTCGTTCTTTGTCAGAAGCATTTCTCAATCGATTTCTCTCTCAAAAAGGTTTTGAGCGGAAGCAAAGGCGGGAGTGAGAGTTTTTGGATTTTTGCTCTCTCTCACAATGTAAGAAGCCAATTATTTAGACCGGCTTAAGTCCGGTTCAAATGTAAGAAGCCAATTTTATTGTTTTCTGGATGGCATTCTTTATAAGAATGCCAGTTCAGCTGTGTCTAAAGCGGCAGTCTTTACCGCCGCTGGCTTGGATCATTTTTCTAGGCTCCGTTTGTTTGTAATATAAATGTCAAATTAGGGTATTCATGTACCTCGGTTCACATTTGCTAGCTGTAAAAAAGTAATGATTATCAGATTAAAAATGTAGTTTTTCACACTGTACTTATTTTTTGAATATAATTTTGTGTTCTTTTGATAATTAACTTTTTTACCAAAGTCAAGGCATTGGAGCATAAGATAGTTGGAGCATTTAATGATGTGCCCACATTTTGCACTAATTTCAAACAAACAAGATGAGTGCAAAAACAATTTAAAATGTGAATTGTATTTACATTCATGAATTGAAAAAAGAGTAAGTATGCAATGTACATATATGTATTTGCATTGTAATCAAACGCAGCCCTAAGCACACCATCAACCTCAACACACCACCAGTCCTAAGGGTAAATATGCAGTGTACATATTTGTATTTGCATTGCAACCAAACATAGCCCTAAGCACACCACCAGCCCTAAGGGTAAATATGCAGTGTACATAGTTGGAAACTTTATCTAATATTTGTATGAGGCGATGTTGCTGTCCTAAGCACACCACCAACCTCAACACTTTTATTCATTGAAACCTTTTTGCTATCCGATTGAATTTGTTAGGTGCGCAGGGAGTTTTTTGTCTGATGATATCACCTAATAAAGAAAGTCTTAGTCCAATTTGAAAAAGAGGGGATGCTTCAGTATTTAGAAAAATCTTAAGGGAGGTTTAAGTCTTTTACGGTTTACCCTTTATTTTATATTATTTTTACAAACAACCATTAGATAAAGAAAGAGAGATTTGATATTCTAACGTCTAGCCAAGTGGCACCATTATACCCCACTTTCTCCTAAATTATCCCTAATCCCTATTTATCCTTTCCCCGCTTTTCAACTATATCTATCTAAAGAAAGTATGAAATAAAAAAACTAAAAATTATTTAAATATAATATAAAAATTATGTAATAAATTTAAAATATTTATTAAAATATAAAAATAATTATAATAGATTTAATAATATTCATATTATTAATAATCTTATTTTTATGAAATTCATAACAAAATTATGTACTAACAATATGAAATTTTATGAATTATTCAATTTAAATGTTATTCAAATAATAAATTTTAAATGAAAAAAAACATTATTTAAATATTTCAATAACTAAATATTTTAAATAACAAAATATTAAAAATAGATAAATAATTATATAGTAAAATATTTAATATTACATAATAACTTTTAAAATAAATAAAATTTAAATAACAAAATTTTTAAATATTTTACATTTTATTTAAATAGTTAAATAACAAAATATTTAACATAACAAAATTTTAAATAGTTAAAATAACGAAATTATGTAATAATAGTATAAATTATAATTTTATGGATTATTAAATTTAATAAATAATTAATGTTTAAAATTTTAAATAATGATATTATTTAAATAAGGGTAAATTACAAAGATCCCCCTTGTACTGTAGGGTCAATGTCTAAGTTTTTTTGCGACAAACACCACCCTAAACTTTGGTCATTAGATAAAGACCCCCGTCAGTTGACTTCAAAAAAAATTCTCACTTTACTATTTAAAGTTTTCCAAATGCCCAAACTACACCTATCTAATTTACCTTTTTTCTCATTTTCTGTTGTCATCTTCATCCAATTTACTTTGGGAGAATGATGGTTCAGCCTAGGGTCAAAACTTTTAGGCCAAAAGTATAATTGGGGTGGTGCTAGCTTGGAATTGATGCGAATCCATGGGTGGCATGTAAAGTGGGGGGTTTTGATATTTTGAATGTTTATAGCTTTGCAGTGGAAATCAGAAATCTGCATTGGGGCTGTCCGTACTTCTCCAATTTACTTTTGCTTCATGATTGTCTTTTCAAGGTGTTTGTTTTTGGAATGATTAATATCTGTTGTTGAGAAACTACACCTTCTGATGTCAAGGAATGGGTCCCATCAAAAGATTGTCCTCTGCATTAGGGTTGTTCACGGGTTGGGTTGCCTGGAAATGAAACCGAAACCGACCCTGTGTTAGGCAAAATTGACCTGGCTGGTTTGAGTCGGTTTGGGTCGCTTTGAGTGCTTGAATTGAGGGGCCAAGGGAATAAGGGCAGACCAAGTTAGAAGTTACCAAGAAAAGAAAAAGTCAAATTGTGTTAGAAAAAGAAAATTGAAATTTGGAATTTTTAAGAAGGCTTTTAATCTAAGTAAAAAAGACACCAAATTGTAATTACCTATTTGGTCTAAAGGACCTTAGAAAATATGATCACTTCTTTAAACCTTAAAAAAAATGAAAGAAACTATTAATGGCATTCATTGTCCTGCAATGCTTGCCATTAATGACATTCCTAAAGAGAATACTAGAAATTAGATACTATAAGTAACTAAAAAGTAGAAACTAAGTTAGATACTAACTAGGAACTAAGTTGATTTCGGTTTTCATGTGTGGAGATTGGAACTGAACCGACTCATCGGCTTATACTTTTTAACCCGAATCCGACTGATGCTAAAGAAAACCCAACCGATTCGGATTGGTCGGTTTGGGTCTTCTTATGAACAAAGGAAGACCCAGGGGAGCCATGGCCCCCACTATGGTTCAAAAACTCCCCATTGAAAAACAGCTTTCCATGTAATTCCTGGCCCCTGCGTGCATTGAGCATTGTCGCCATCTCAACAAATCGATCTCATAAGGGAGGAAACCAGATAACTGGTTGTTTAAAAGAAGCACCTCCACCAATTGTGCCTTCTTAGTTGGCCAAGCTACTAAATGAAAACCGAGTTAGCTGGAGGAGGTGAGTCAGATGGCAAGTTAACCAGAAGCCATAAACAGAAAATCCTTTGCAGTTGCAGATCAACAAATTCAGTATTTGTGTGTATGTGCATTTAGAGAGAGATCTGCAAATATTTTCCCTAAATATTGTGTGACAATGGTGTAATCATTTCCAGAAATAAATTGTAGAGTTTGCCTCTCGATTCCCTCTCATTCCAACGCCTTGATCCTGCACGGGAAGATGCCGGAAACCAGAGGTAAGAAGAAAAATCAATAACCTCGGGAAAGGGACCTCAGATATATTGAGGTTTTCAAGCATTTGATAATTTTCTGTACTCCAAAATTTCCCTGATATCTCTCTTTATCATGCAATCTGGCCTTTCTCCTGATAAACCTGTTTTTCAGCCTCAGTCAATTTGCTCAATAGGTGTCCAATCATCTTGTTGATGGCTTTTTCTTGCCCATGGTGCAGATGGCTCAGACGGGCATAATGCTCAAAAAATAAAGAAAAAAAGAAAGAAATTGTAACCACTCCTGTTTGGTTTAGGACGAGAGGGATCCTTCAATTCCAGCTTGGATCTTTTCCAGTGCCGACGAGGAGTTACAGTTGAAGGGTTTGATTCTTCATATGTGTTGTTGGATGGTGTTTGTAGAGACACTGTTGTTTTTGTAGTGGTAACCGTTGAAATCAATACTAGCAAGTGCCTTGACGTCGTTGTTGTGGTCCGGTGGGTGATCACAGTAGAAGTCGGTGTAATTACAGATTCTGGGGCCCACCAGCACTGTTGATGGTAGAAGCCGGAGTTGGGCGATCTTCTCTGCCCTGCTCGCTGGTTTCTTGTATGATTCCGAGAAGGGAGTGAACGAACAAACACCCCCATTTGCTGGTAATGGAGGTTGGCCAAAGGTGGCGGTAGGGATGTTTGTTCACACTGTTACAATTCTTGTCACAGTGAGAGTGGAGGAGGAGGTGGTGTTTGTGTTACTTGATGTGGTGAATGGCAATCAAAAGAAAATAGAGGAAGTTTTAGTGGGATATTTTGATAATTTAATGCCTTCCACTATCCGACTTAACGGTTGAAGGGGTATTTGTCGCAACTCACAACGTAAAAGTTCATTAGTTCAAGGAAGTGTTTGTTACGAAAAATAGTGCAGGGAGTCGTTGTCACTTACCCTATAGTATAAGGGGGTATTTGTAATTTATCTTTTAAATAACTAAATGATATTATAAATAACTAATTTTAAAAATAAAAAAGTTTAATATACTATTTAAAAGACAAAAAAATAGATTAAATAAAAAAATTATGTAATAACTTTAAAATTATCAAAAATACAAAAATAATTATAATAGATTTAATAATATTTGATAATAGGAATATAAAATATAAATAATTTAAATTTTTTAAATATTACTCAAATAATGAAAAACCAAATGATCATTAGTGAAAACCGGTCAACTCTGGTTGTATCGGTTTGGGTTAGTTGGTTCAAATGATTTAAACTTAAAAATTAAATTTAAAATTTAAAAACTATAGTGGTATTAATAAAAAATAAATTTAAAAATTTAAATTTATAATATAAAATATTTTAGACTAAGAAATATATGAATTTTCTCACTTTCCCATATTAAAAAATATACTTAAAATATAAAATATTAATATATATATGGTCGAATAATTTGATTTTGGTTGGTTTACAAATGGCCAAATCAAAACTGATCCGACCTAATTAGGTAGGGAAATTGTTGAACCAAAGCCGATTGGAAAATACTAGAAAAACAATTAACTCAGATCGAATTGATTAATTTGGTTGGTTTCATCGATTTGATAAATAACCCTAACTGAAATTAGTTACTGTTATTTTTATATTATAAAAATTTTATTAAAAATAATATATAAAATATAAATAATTATTAATTATTTAAGAAATTAAAATATAAAACAATTATATACTCTTAAAATCCGCGCATATTCACATAAATAAATTATTAAATTTACTTATTATATACAAAAAAAGCGCCGAATGCAGATATCTACGATTTTCACTGCAGACCTAAACATTCAAAATGTAACAATCCACACCCGCCCGTGAATCGGCATCGAGTTATATATATATATATATATATTACGTAATCGGGGCGGGCAGTAAATTCACTATCCCTCCCCATCCCCATCCCCTCCCCGTTCCCGTCCCCGGTCGGGTAACACAATTAATCCTCGTCCCAGCCAGGCAATCTCCATCGCCGACCCCATCGGATCGGAGAATCGAGGTGCCCGGTGGGACGGGAAAGATTCACTTGCACGGGTGCACCTGCTCTGCTCTAAATGCGTAGGACTGCATGCTAGCTGAGGGAAAGGAATAAGTGCTTCCTGATTTCCTTATCTTTCTTCTTGAGTTCTTTCCCTGCAATTGCAGTGCTGGACGGACGAAATCACATTGTTTGTTTTTTCTTTTCTCTGAGAGAGAGAGAGAGGAATGAACATGGTTAGAAGAGGACGGCGAGGAATCTTCCATTCTGAACTTTTGATCTCTTTCTGGTGGATGGAGCTGCATGATTGTCCTAGGCGATCGTTCTCCAATCTTCATTTTCCTTTTGTTCGGTTTAGAGCTGAAGACGCAAAGAGAAATTGAAATTCGTTCCCTACGCCTCTGCTTCGAAACTTAGCATCTTCCTCGCGTTTCTGTCCTAACTTGAGTTGAAATTTGATTGCGGATCTTCTAATTGTTGGTCTAGCTCTAACCTTTATTTCTCATGGTTTTTACTTTTTAATAGATAATCTTCTTATAGTGGTCTTATTTACTTGTAACATTTTATTCTTACTACTTTATATTCATTTAAATGCAGAACCTTCCTGAAATTATTCAGTGGACAGGTCCTGGTATGCATGTCTTCCCCCCTCTTTTTCCCCTGGATTCTGGTTCCTCCTTTTGGTTTCATGTTGCACTTTGAACCTTCTTTGGTGTAAATTTGCTTTTTTTCCCTTTCTTTTAAAATTTTCTTTAGACTTTGATGCTTCCAAAATGTTTAATGATTACATGCATTTTGAGGGTGTGGTATGTTGATTATTCAATACTTAAGGGCTGTTTGATAAAAGCTGAAGCAGCTGAAAAGAATCATTTAATCTGCATTTGGTTTGAGAGAAAATAAGAGATGGAAAGTTCTTAAGGAATTTCACAAAATTTATTATGAACTTTCCCTCAAACCGAACATAGTGCTATTGTTTACTATGTTGTCAAATTTTTATTATTTAATTATTTTATCCACCATAAGACAAACCATGTAGATCAGCCACTTCCACCATTATGAACCCCTTAGATTCTTTCTTTATCCCAAGAAATTTCGTTTCATAAATTCCCTGATTTAATGTTTTCTGTTGGAATAGGTCATTGCCTCTCACTAGGCTTATTCTTGGTAACCAAAACTATAGATGTGAGGGGCATACGCACTTTAATCCATGGGCTTCAATTTTATGCATAGAAACACCTATGGAACGTGAAAACGTGATACTAAAACGTTAGGATTGCAATTGCTAATTTTTAGGCTTGTGGTTTTATGACAATTCCCACTGCATATTAGTCAATTTTTATCTTCAGCTGTCAAGAATCTTCTTCAGGAATGAAGAACTGTGGTAGTAGAAAATGCTGAGCCTTGACATAAACCATTTAGGCAATAGATTTCAAATTTTCAATCAAACTCAAGTCCAAATATAAGAGAAATCAATTAATCAATTACCAGTATGACAGTTCCTAGATGCTGACGACAGGACCTGCTTTGTAGGCTAAGTTTTTGTCCCTTCTGTGGCCAGCAGCAAGAAATTGTGGGTATCATTCATTATTCTGGTGAGAATGAATTAATGAAAGTTCTCTCATGGATTTGTTAGATCAAATAAATGAGATACCCAATTGTAGTCCAGGAAATCTTTTTTCTATTATTACCACTATGGTTTATGTGCGGATGACATCTGGTCATTGGCTAAACTATTTTCATTTGGCAACATGGCTCTGCTATCATTGATTTAATACTTATTGTGAGAAACAAGTGTGAGTTATGATGTAAATATAGGTATTCATTCCGTTTTTACCCAATTGACATCTATTTTTCAGGGTAACCAAAGCATTGGGGACAAATTCCATGGAGTCCCGAACGTTGATCATAGCCAACATTTGTAAAAAAACATATTAAAAAGTTAATCAAGAGCAATAGTTATCTATGATAACAGCTTAAGAAGTAGTAGATAGATCATAGGTACAGTGATCAAGAGCAAGAAATCTGAAATAATAATATTGTTAATGATTGCAGTAAAAGGAACCTAACCTCTGTTTTTGATTAGTAATCTTGAACAAGGCTGTGATTGAGTTGGCACAATGAAAATAATCTTCAGAGTAATCTTCAATCAAGAGCAATTAAGATATGAACTTCAAAGTTCAAACCACTGAACATGGTGTTCAGCTGACCTGGCAGAAGATGACTTAGAATTGTTAGGGCTACTTATTCTGTCCTTTTATTTCTATATATCAAGGGCTTATCTCCTCCCCTTCATAAATCTATCTCATTGTTGATTGGTAACCAGACAGCTGATTGGCTGGTAGGTTTTTCTCTATGTGTAGATGAGAGTATTTTTGTGATTTGTAGGTTTTTTTTCCTATATGTAGATCACAATGTATTTTTACCACTTTTCTCTTCCTCATGTGGATTGAAGTGGTATGAAATGATTCAAGGACTTAAAATTTAACAAAGAACATGGCTTTTGATAAAGCACAATGCCAGGACAAAATTAGTCCAAATAGTTGTGAATAATGCTTAATTGAGTTATTTAATCCATTTGGGGACAATTTTTACCCTTGCTTACTGACTGAAAAAAGAAATATTGTATGGAGTTGGCACCACAAAAGAAATACTAGAGGTTTGATGATGATGATGAGCTTCTCACTATTACATTGATCCAATATTGACAAAGCCCATCTCTAGCTATAATTTCCTTGGATAAGCTAACTAGAACTCCTATTTTGACTCAACTTGGCTTACTGAAACTCATTTTTATTCTACACCTAAAAAGGACATTACCAAATGCTGGACTAGCAATCCAGGGTCTTGTCATCTTGAGATGGGTGGTATGAAGTGGCCGCCTCAGACTCAAATGTCTGTTCTCGTGCTTGTCTGCCTGATATTTTACCAGTGCACAAATTCAATCATGTGAAGAAAACCCAAAAGTATGGAATCTAGGATTCTAGGAGGAATTTTGAGATGAGATTTGGTGGGATGAAATATTATAAATGTCTATTTGGAGCATATAAATATGAGATCCATTGGAGATGGTTTACCACAAAAAGATATATAGACAACATAGAGATGGTCAATCCTACTAAAACTAGGAAAAATGGAAATTATAGAATTACCATTGTCATAAGAAAACACAACTCATAGATGACTTAACTAGTGACCACGAAAACAAAACTACACTATGATTAGAAAAATTAAACTTTTTTTTAGCTGGAAACCTCAGACATGTAAAATGGCAAAAATACCTATACTGTCTAAAGTTCTAAACATAAAAAATAGAAAAAAAAAGTCCAGAAAATTATAAATTTAACTCTTTGGCTCTTGCATCAGTAGAAAAAAAAAGTCCAGAAAATATAACTCTTTGGCTGTTTATATTGAATTTTCAGAGGATTGAATCTATCTTGGCCCTGGGCACAAGTATGAAATTGTTGAGGGAAAAATATTAGTTCGAATTGTGTCCTTTAAGTTTTAACATCTATTTGGATTCACAAAAGCTATGTCAAAACTCTAGTTTGTATGGAAAATAAATGACACAAAGAAATGGGTGAAAAGAGTAAAAGTCATGTGATCGTGCCACTTTACAGGATAGGCAAACTCTTAAAATTGAAGTGTTACTTGGATACTGTGAAATCTATAGCCACCCAGACCTCTGAAGCTTCCAAATAAAAAAATTCCTATAAGTTTCCTTTGTTTAAAAAGTTATTTAAAATTGAATTGTTACTGGTATACTGTAAAACTAATAGTTCAGCCTCGCATGAAGTTGGATACAGCACCAACACCTAGAACTTGGCAGGATTCCTCATCACATGATGATGCTTTAGGCAAAGCCAGATCAAAGCCTACTTTATGCATTCTCAGGCTTAGGTTTCTTACTAGGTTTGGGCCAAATATGGTCTGTTCTTTTTTGCTACATTGAAAGACTTTCGTATGCAAGAAGACTCCTATTTACATGTAAATCCTTGCTTAAAAACAAAGGATAAAGACACTACTATATGAAGTTCAGGCTTTCCAAGGTCAGCGAATGCTTTGGTTGATCATCTTGCTAAACAGGGGGTATTGAGGGAACATCTGTACTGGGCAACATTGTAACGTCTTTGGCGTAGTTTTTTCACACTTATTGCATGTCTTTGGCCTCTCCCTGGGGTTCTTGTAACATTTCTGATATATCATTAATAAATCATTTCTTATTCATAAAAGAAGAACAAAAATGTGAATGATCTAATTGCTACAAGTTGCAAACCATGAACTAGGACCTAGACCAAGCAAATAATTAAATTAGGTGATCATATTATTTTCTATTGACAATCTCTGCAATAGGAGAATACCAATTTGGATGGAGGGAACATTTTATAGAACAACTTGTAAAGAGTGCTGGACAGTCAGGAAACATGTCCAAAACATGACTGTGGCAGGGTTGTGAATGTTGAGATGGATGAGTGGACAAATTAGAAAACTCAGGCAGTCAGGCTACTGATCACGGTTTGTACAGCCAACTCATATGGAACAGTTTAATTAGATTAAAATCTGGGAACCTAAAGAAACACCCCTGAATGGTTTGAACTTTGGTGTTGGTAAGTTGACGGGGTCATATGACAGTATAGTTGTGTTGGTACAGACATTTTATCATCTTCTGCATTTTTATTTCCACTGGTACTTTACAAGTCCATTGCCAAAAAAATAAGTACTCTGCAAGTCTGACATGATTTAGGAGTAAATGTAATTAAGTTTACTGGAAAGCCATACTCAAAAGGTGTTATGAGTTATGAATATGTTTGTTTTCTTGTTTTTATTAAATGTTAAATCAGTAAACAAGAATAAAAAACTCTTGGATGTGTTTTTACAAACAAGGTGAAAACATCAACCATGTTTCTGAAATAAAAAAAAAAGATGCTCTCAGAAGTGAAAACTTATTTATACTTTCATAATGCTGATATAAGCTATAATTTAAGAGATGTTTGCCGATACTTGTATCAGTTTGTTTTCATTCATAAAAAAGAAAAGTATGATTTTGCTTTCTGAAACAAAAACAACTACCACTTGAAGTGGTGAATACCCTCCTCCCCCTAGGGTGTGTCAAATACCTCTGGATCTGCTGCACTTAAAGTATGATTTTTCTGAAACAAAAACAACTACCACTTAAAGTGGTGAATACCCCCCTTAATGTTTGTCAAATACCCCTGGATCTGCTGCACTTGTGCTGTTGTGCGCCAACTTGCATTCAGTTTGTAACACCTGTCAGACTGAACGCAAGTGCATGACAAGTTCGGCCCAAATATGAGCAGCATATTCTGACAGGAGTGTTGGACCGTTGGTACAACTTGGTTGGGAAGATTTATTATTGGTTAATATTTGTTCCAGTTTCAGAAGGGACAAGCAATGTAGAGAGCTTTACAGTTCCAAGTAAGATTGGTTGGTCGTCGTATAATTTAGTTTCGGTGGTGTCTGATCAGTTTTAGTTTTCTTCTTCTCGTCTTGTCTAGCTTCAATGGGAAATGAATCAATGATCAAAATCATCAATATGTTCTAATTACAAAGACTAATAACAAAGCTTAATTAATTAATGGGGAAGGGGAACAATATAATCAGCATTAAGCAATGTTTGGAGTTCCTCATACGATAATACGTACCATCTTATCATCCACTGGAATTGCTTATTTGAAAGAAAGTCTAAGTCCATATTTGATACTCACTTGATTCTAAAGTACAAATATAAAATAAAGCAAACAAGAACTACACTATTCACTCAGGATATGTTATTCTTTTTCTTTTTCCCTTTTTTTTGTTTTAAAAAACCAATGTTCTTCAAACCAAGTTTGGAATGGTTTTTGAAACTCGCAGGAAAATTAATTTTTTTTCATAAAAACAAAAAAAAAAAAATACTAGGAGAACACCCCAAGTT